CAGAGCGTGTATTACCACTGAGTCTTAGTCTTGGAAGGGGGTTTGCTCTGAGGGGACCCAACCACTTGCCTTGATGTCTCCTGGGTGAGCAACTTGCTTGTTCTTGTAGTAATCAGTCCGTCTGCCTATATTATTTTGTATTTTTCTTGTAGGTCTTTCTTTCAAGAAGTATCTTCTGTTCTTTTAGCCACTCCAGGCTGGTCTGCCTGCCCTTTCAAGTGGAAATTTTCTACCTCTGAAGATTCTGGATTCTATTCAGGATTCCACCTATTGTCATGTAATGCAAAGGCTCCGCAGGAAGCCTCCTTCACTGGACAAGTTGTAGCTCCATTTTAGGTATTCCAATCAGTTATAGGCAGAAGACAGACTTATAAGCTTTCTATGGTGATATTTCTGGCTATTCCTTTCTCTCCCCCTCCAGTGTCTATTTTATAATGGTATGCCAGGGAAACCAAGATTCAAAAGACAGCCAAGCATCTTAACATTATTTCCCCCCTTTTCCCATTCCAACCATCCCTATATCCCAGAGCCTGTTGTTACAAGGTTGTGCATACATCATTCTTTACCTCTGTCCCACTTAGCCCGCACAAACCTGCCTAATTGTTCTCCCATCTGCTTTGTTCTTCCATTCCCCTCTCCCTTCTTGTATATTGCCCCCCTCCCCAGCACGCAAACTATCCTATACAAGACCTTCTTAAAGTGTTGAACAGTAAAAATGTCAATTTGAGACCTAAGGAGTGCCTGATACAAGCCATGGTATTTTCAATGACTTCATATGCATGTGAAAGTTGGATAGTGAATAAGGAAGAGAGTGGAAGAATCGATGTATTTGAGCTATGGTTTTGGAGGAAAATATTAAAAGTACAATAGACTGCAAAAGAACAAACTAATCTGTCTTGGAAGAAGTACAGAAAGAATACTTCTTGGATGGCCACACTTCATCTTTCATACTTCAGACATATTGTTAAGAGGACCAGTCCTTGTAGAAGGATATTATGTTTGGTAAAGTGGAGGGTCAGGGTCGGAGAAAAAAAGGAAGACCCCCATTGAGATGGATTGACGCATTAGCAGTAGTGATGGGCTCAAGTGTAGCAATGATTGTGAGGTTGGTGCAGGACTGGGCGGTGTTTCATTCTGTTGTTCATAAGGTCGCTATAGTCAGTACCGACACGATGGCACCTAACAACAAGTGATTGATTTCCCTCCACAACAGTAGAATTGATTAGCTGTGACAGAGCAAAGCCTAAAATAGTTACTTTCTGGTCCTTGACAGAAAATATTTTCAACTCTGATTCTATCTCTTAGTTTTCATTCCCTTTTTATTCTACCACACTTTACACCTTAGCAATATCAAAGCACTTGTAGTCCCTCTCATATCATGATACTTTATGTTGTAATGTCTTTGTGTGTGCTTTTTCCTCTGGCTGTAACTTCCCATCCCCACTCTTCCATGAAGGTTCATTGTTTCAAACCCTTTTTGAAAGGTGCTCATTCTATAATTCACTCCCTTCCATTCAAATTCACCACTTAATTTTTGTTAGATGATATTGAGAGTAGGTGTGAGAATCAAGAAAATAATGCCTGGGAAAGCACTTTGTAAAACTCCAGGGCGCAACATAAAAGTAACAATTTCAAACCCTACTACTAATAGCAGGTAGTAGTAGTAATAGTAGTACACTTGCTTCATCGATGGCCATCTTTGTGTCTACTTTTATTTCAAACCATTTACAGTGAACTTTTTAGACTGAAGTGTTCTAGCTGCTTCTCATGGAATGAAAGATCTGCCCTTTCGTATTATACCTCGTTATTGAAGACAGATGACATTGAGAAGCCTGGGTTCGTTCGTTTGGCAGTCCCAGAGGGGAAATTGGGTCAATTATATGAGTCTCATCTATTATTGAACAATCTTAAGATGACTTGAAATATCAATCAACTGAACAAACCAAAGAGCCCAGCCTTCTATGTTAACCTTCTCTTTGATTCCAGAGAAGCAAAGGTTGAAATTCTTGAGAAAGTAAATCTGAAATCCTAAGAAAATATTCTAAACCAAAGAGCCATTTTAGTCTTTGGCTGTGGGTAATTATACAAAAATAAGATAAGACCTTGAAGAAGAGTTGCATTCATTTTTCCGTGGATTACAGGGGTAGGGGGAGAATATATGAGTGAAGGCATATGGTATAAGTCCAAAATGATGCCTAGATTCTGAGGATTATTCTTTGTAGACACCGTATCTGCTGGAAGAGCATTGTGCTCTGATACTGGTATATCCTAGTTGTAGGTTATTCTGGTTTCATTTTGCTTTTTTAATTATATCTGCATTTCTTTCCCTGACCACGCCCCTTCATTAGGGAATCAAAAACATCTCATCGAAAGTATTTTCATGATATATAAAAAGCAAAAGCCAAACACGTTGCTCTGGAGTTGATTCTGACTCATGGCCACCCATATAAGATACATTAAAAACTGTACCACAATGCTGTGTGTGTGTTAATACTCTCCTGTTAATTTACACAGTGCTCTCAGGGAGATCCCAGAAAGAGCTCAGAGATTTCCATTTGCCTTGTGAAAAGTTTAATATATGTATTGAAAGCCACAAAGCTAAGTTTCAGGTTACACATAATGAAAGCATTGGAAGTTATGAATCTTAGTTAGAACTGCATTCTGGAGAGGAGGACGCCAGTGCATTCACCACTGCCATTAAGGAACAACTAAGGAGCTCTGATAAAATAATGGTTATGGATTGGGCTGCTAATCTCAAGGTCAACAGTTCGAAACTACCAGCAGTTCCACGGGAGAAAGATGAAGCTTTCTGCTCCATAAAGATTTACAGCCTTGGAAACCCTGTGCAGGGTCACTATGTGTTGGAATCAACTCAACAGCACTTAACAACAACTTCTTTTAGCTGTGCCATTCTTTCAGGAATTACAATATATAGTTGTTGTTGTTAGGAGCCATCGAGTCGATACCAACTCATAGCGACCTTATGCACAGCTGAAGGAAACACTGCCCGGTCCTGGGCCAGCCTCACTACTGTTGCCATGCTTGAGTCCATCGATGCTGCCGCTTGGCCAATCCATCTCGTTGGGGGTCTTCCTCTTTTACTCTGACCCTCCACCTTACCAAACATGATACCCTTCTCCAGTGACTGGTCCCTCCTGACAATATGTCCGAAGTATGAGAGATGAACTTTGGACATCCTGGCCTCCAAGGAGCACTCTGGCTGTACTTGTTCCAAAATGGATCTATTGGTTCTTTGGGCAGCCCATGGCACCTTCAATACTCTCCTCCAACACCACAACTCAAAAGCATCAATTCTTCTACTGTCTTCCTTATTCACTGTCCAGCTTTCACATGCATATGAGGTTATTGAAAATACCATGGCTTGGGTCAGGTGCACCTTAGTCCTCAAGCTGACATCTTTGCTCTTCAACACTTCAAAAAGGTCTTGTGCAGCAGATTTGCCTAATGCAATACGTCATTTGATTTCTTGACTACTGCTTCCGTGAGCGTTGATGGTTATCCAAGAAGAATGAAGTCCTTGACAACTTCAATCTTTTCTTCATTGATAAGAATGTTGTTTATTGGTCCAGTGTAAACAACAATATATAGTAAGGGTAGAAAAATAAGCAAAGGAGGAAATTTGGTATTGATTTTCTTTTCTTCAGTGAAATTACATGAAAGCTCAATGGCTCATAGCAATAGGTTCAATAAGGTTGCCCTTGAGAGCACCTGAAGTTTAGTTCTCTCCCAATCCTTTTAAGCTTCCTTTAGTGTTGAGTTCTATTGAATTTAATTGGTTTTGGTGCTGAGATACTATGAAGCTTTTTATTCGTAGTACTACACAGAGGATTCTTTAATTTTTATTTTTTTTAAGCTTGTATTGTATATTGAGTGAGGACAGATCACCAGTTTTACATTCAGCAAATTATTGTAATGATTACAATCCCCTCTATGCACCCTTAGTCAACAGTATTTGCCTCTATTATCTTTTTTTTTTTTTTATGTACACATACCACATTGTAAATATATATTCATTTACATGCCCAAAGGACACATTTTGCAAGCCAGCCTCCCACCCACAGGCACACTGCCTTTCTCAGTGCATGGGCCTACAGTCCTCTGTTGCTCTGTTTCTCTATGCCATCACCTCTGTCACCATCTCTGTTGTCGTCACTTTTCTGGTTAGGATCCCTCGATCCTGTCATGTTCTAGGGTCCCTCCTGACAGTCCTAGGGTCCCCTGTTCCTGAAATGACAGATTAACTGCTCCCCCATTTTAGTTGCATCTCTTGTACATTTATAATTGTGGTAATCACCACTAGGCTTGAAAACAATTACTCATAATTGAATCATAAAATCCTATCCACCTCATCACCAAGACCCATCTGAACAAGAGGAAACCAATTCAGTAGGGTTTCTGTCTTACTCCCTGGGTTCTGACACTAAGCATCCTTATGAAAGCTTATAAACCAGCCACTTCGTGCCTTTATACCCCCCAATGTTTAATTGTCCGTTCCTGTCAACCCAGTGCACTGAGAGGGCATGCTTGCTCCTTGATATGAAGACTCCTTCCCTATTCAGTTGGAATTTGGGGCAGTTTCATCCATAAGCAAGGGTTCAGTTGATCAAGTTATAGCAATTTATGTTTGCTCCCCACGCAGAGGATTTTGCTAAAAAATTGAAGTGTTCCCAGATAATAAAGCTTTGCTCTTCCTTTTTGGTTAAAAAACAGTTACACAAAACAAAACTCCAAATCTGAAAATTCAAGGAATAATTGAGACCAATAGGAGGACACACCTATCGTAAAGCGATTTTTTCAGTATGAGAACGTTGGGTTTGAACTACAACAGAATTAAATAGTGTTTTCTCCTTGGGGTGAGTCTATCTGAGTCTCACCGCTAGATATGTGCACATTTGGTCATAATCATTTCTAACATTTTGTGAGCATTTACTGTGGGCTAGGTGATAATGCTAAGTCTTTATATGCTTTCTGTTCTATAGGGAAGCAATAAGTCGCCTGTGTGAAGGGGTCCCTGGGGCACATGGAGCTATTAAAAAGCGAAAGGTAAATCTATTTTTATGTTTTATGCTTCTTCCACTATGGGAAAAGTAATATGAAAGTAGTTGTTTGTTCATTTTAGCATATGAACCAAGGTAGTCTTTATTCAGTGGGAGGATACCAGAGCTACACTCAAAGTTCTCACATCCCTCAAATTTCTCTGACTAGTCTGACAATGCCTTAAATAGTAAGGCCTGGAGTGACAGAGTGGAGAAGTTGGCTGGGCTTCAAGTCAGAAAATCTGGATTCCACACATGAGTCTCTATTTACCTTTGAGCACATTATGTCGTCTCTCAAGGATTCATTTTGTTCCTGAAAAGTTGGGGAGTTGAAGCAGGTGGCCAGCTTTGTCCCTTCTCATTTCAGCATTTTCTAATGCCTATATTCTACATTCTAATACTTTAGAGTTTTTAAACTCCCTGAATAATTTTCAGATAGAAATATGGGTGAAGATAGATGTGGCCCATGGGTAGAAGGAGCTTACCACACTTAAATAAAGCACAAGTTTTTGTTTTTAAAATATTTTTAATTCAATTAATGGATTAATTTTTATCTTTTTATTGTGAATTGAGTGAAAGTTTACAGATCATCAAGTTTTGATGTTAAATAGACTTAGGCAAGTCTAATTGTGATCTTGGGCAAGTCACTACACCTCTTGTACCCTTGACTTCCTGAATAGGGGGAAGTAGTTAAATGAAACAAGATCTACACAATGTCTGGCATATATTAGCTTTTCAACAATAGTGGGAGCTGCTATTGTTGCATTTAGGCTAGTAACCCTATAATTTTCACTTGCTTTTAAAAGTCTGAAACATAGGTGCAAAGGCTTTTGAAGACAACTAGATAAATCACAGAGTTATAGACTGCTCAAGAAGGAAGGAATTTTAAGAGTTCTCCAGTCCAACTGTCTCATTTGACCAGTTGCTAAACTGAGTCCTGGTGTGGTGCTGAGGGTTAATGCGAGGTCGGCGGTTCAATCTCACCAGCCTCTCCTCAGAAACCCTAAAGGTTGCTATGATTTGGAAGTGACTCAACAGCACTTAACAACAACAATAATAAACTTGAGTTTTGATGTGGCACTTTAGGTTAAACATTGGACTGCTGGTTGCAAAGTTGGTGGTTCAAACCCACTAGGAGTTCATTGCAGACCCTACTGAGTCAGAACTGACTCTGCAGAGTCACTATGAGTCAGAATGGACTCTACATTATTTAACAACAGCAGCAGCAAAGAGACTCAGAGAAGAAATTGAATTTGCTTTGAATTACTGAGCTGGTTCAGATCAGAGCCATCTTTAGAAGCTGCTCTGCGCACTTCTAGTTCAGTGGTCTTTTTCTCAACACTATCATCTCTCCAGAAAGGACATCTGCAAAGAAAGAGAATTGAAATGTTTATTTAGTTTCCTTTTGATAGCTAATTCCTTTTGTGGAGTATTTCACACCTGCCAGGGGCTCTTCCATGGGAGAGAGAAGAGGCTTTTGTTCCCACAAACATTTACAGCCTCAGAAACCTTATCCAGGGGTCACTGTGAGTCAGAACTGACTCCACAGCATTTCACAACATCAGGGGCTCTTCCAAGCATTTTACAGTGCTTAATCAGCACCAAAATCCTGGACAGCAAGGCTATTTTTTTTTTTTTTATTGTGAACTGAGTGACAGTTTACATGGGAGAACATCAGCTTTACATTCATCTATTATATTTTGTTTCGTTGGAATGATTACAATCCCCTCCATGCATCATCATTCAACAACACTTGCTTCCATTCCCTCTGGTTTTTTTGGATGTACACCGATACACTGAAGCAATCAGGAATATATAACCATTCAAAGCAGGTCGATGTTTATCTCCATTTTACAGATGAGAAAACTAAGGGCCCTGATGGGTTAAGTAACATGACCACTGTCACCCAATCACTAAATGGAAGAGCCATTGTCAAACCCAAGCAGTCAAGGCCAAGGCCCCCCCCATTCTTTACTCTTATGTTATCTATGTCTGGAGCCTCTGTCTCCCAGCGAGGGAGCCCAAAGCTATTAATGGTCCATTGAATATGGTCAGGCTCTCCTTTTGATTCCATTAGGTCTGTGGGCTATTTTAATACAGACAGTTTGAAGGGCTTTAGGATTTACCCACTTATGTGATATGCCTTGTACTTTGAAGTGTAAAAGCTAATGAATAACCAAAGAACTGGGGCCTCCCAAGAGACTGTGTGATATGAAGTCAGAAAAAAACAGGCTGCTATGTGAGTAACAAGCTCTGGTCAATTAATTTTCTCCATCCAAAGAGTGTTTTCATTTGCAGAATATGTATAATCATGCCTGGACTGGTTTCCTGCACCCTTAGGTCAAAGTTGTGAAGTGTCCCATCCTCAGCCTCCCTTTCAGTTCCCTTCTTCTCGCATTCCCAGGGCGGCTTCTCCTACAGGCTAGGACCTGCAGAGTTTCTTTTTCTCAAGGAACTGAGAAGCAATCGTGTAGCAAAAAGAGCCTGAATTCATTTCATAAGTATTTCATTTCATAAGTATTCATTAAAATCACTGTAACTTATTATCACTCTGTAGCATACTATGCATTTTCACATACTTTATTACTGAATTCATTTCTTCTAAGTCCCCCCATAACCAGAGGTGGAAGGGGTGGTATTATTATTCCAGTTTCGTAAGCAAAGAAAGACTCAGGGAGTTCCTAAGGTTTCTTGACTACTTAGCACACCTGGGACTCAACTCCAGGTCTCACTGCAAATCCTATGTCCTTGTACAATCTCTCCCATGGGTCATTTAAATGTTATTTCATTCTAATAATGGAATGACTTTGTCTTCTATATAATAAATAAATGATGAATCTTTCTCACTAGGTTAAAGTTATTGTGAGGACCACATTAAGGTTAAAACTTGTATACTTGTATGTAAAAGTTCTCTCTATATAACCAAGTGCTTTTCAGTTATGAGAGAGTATCCTCCTGGTGTGGAGTCATAGGGTCAGCACTTGACTTTGAACCACAAGGTCAGCGGTTCAAACACACCAGCTGCTCCTTGGAAAACCTCTATAGGGTTTCTGAGTCAGAGCTGACTCATTGGCACTTAACAACAACAACATTATCACTTAACTGATATATATAATTTATATACACACACACACACACACACACACACACATATATATATATATATAACTAGTGCAGAAAAGAAACACTAGAGAAGAAAATAAGTGATTTTCTAATTAAATACAGTATCTATTGGGCATACAAAAATCCCTGAATTGTGTGGCTTGCCTTACCCAGGGCCAAATGAAGAGGAAAGAAAGTAGATCAAGAATTAACTTTATGATAGAGCAATACACAAGATTTTGGAGCATCCATTTTTTCAAGTTAAATATTTTTTTAAGGAATGTCCTTAGAACTAAAAACAAAAAGAAAACTATACACTGAATTTCAATAATAAGCCTGATTTCCAGCTAGTGGTTCAGGACTTAATCTAAGCATTGCAATATTTAAACCTCTCAAGTGATTCCTTAGAATTTAGAATCTTCGCATTGGAAAATACCAAAATAATAATAGAAACTGTTGTGTTCTAGCCAAGTGCTAATTACTTTTCATTCATTATCTAAATTTAATCTTCACAACAGCCCTATGAGGTGACTACTCTTGTGATTCATATTTTACAGAGAAGAAAACTGAGGCTTAGAAAGATGATTTGTCTAAAGTTATACAGCTTGTTAGCGACACTCCTGCATGAGAAAACGGGCCAGCGTAGCTTCTCACTCATCTGTTAGCATCTCTTTCCCCACTTACTTCCCTAGTGCCTTTCTAATTTCTGGGCACACTTCCTCTCCTGATCCTTCCACCATCCCCAGACCTCCTATTGAGAAATGCCTGGTGGTAGATGTTTGACTTCCATCGAAACTTACTGTGTTCCTCAGGAGCTTCCTCTAAATTTCCTTTAGTAAACTCTGGTAAGTTATCTTTGTTAATGAGTTAATGTGGACCGGGCTGACCCCTTCCTAGTAATATTTGTTCATTTTAACAATGGGAAATTTCTGGAAACAATGTTTTAACCTAAAAGAATGGCTGAAGGTGGGACTTCAGACATGGTGGTTGTTTGAAGGTGGAAAGTCGAGTGGTTGCAAGGTCTTTTTAACATTGGCAAGGGAAAAATTAGGAGCAAGGGATGGTTTTAATGAAAGAAATAGTTATTTAATTAAGCTGTGTTCTTCAATGTCTTCAGTGGCTGGTTATCAACTTTCTTTTTAGAATCCTGGTTTTGAAAAGACTTAAGAGTTCAGCTGATAAAAACTCTCACTGGTGTTCCTTTTACAGCAGACCCCTTGCTCCAACTGAGGGGAGGGAGAATGTGTAAGAAAAGAGGGCTCAGATTTCATTAGGTTACGAATCGGGCTGCGAACCTTAAGGTCAGCGGTTCGAAACTACCAGCCGCTCCGCGGGAGAAAGATGAGGCTTTCTACTCCCGTAAAGATTTACACCCTCGGAAACCCTGTACAGGGTCGCTATGGGTCGGAACCGACTCGATGGCACTTAACAACAACAACAACACAGGGCTTGCTGCTTTCATTCCAATATTTTTAAGTTGCCTTTTTTTCTTTTAAAAAAATAATTTCCTTTCATTTAGTTCATTTAATTTAGTTCAGTAAAATAGAGAGGAAGAATGTGAGCTTTGATCTTTTAAAAACATTTGAATAACATTAATGTTTATTTAGTAACAAAATTAATAACTTAGAGTGTTTTGTTATTTTAAAGCCTCCAGTTAAGTTGCTATCAACAGTTCTTGGCAAAAGTAACCTTCAATTTTCTGGAATGAATATAAAACTGACCATCTCAACATGCAGTCTCACACTGATGAATCTTGACAACCAACAGGTAAGATCCTGAATGACATTTACAGTTTAATATATCATCTACTTTTCTAGGGGAGCCTGGAACAGTAAAGAAAATAAAGTCTCAGACATAATGTGCCTGCATATTTCTTGTTAAGTATTGTTGAGTCTGTCCCGACTCATAGTGAGCTTGTATAGGGTTTCTGAGGATTGGCTGGTGGGTTTGAACCGTCAACCTTAGGGTTGGCAATTCAGTACTTTTGCTACAGTGCTATACTAGGACTCCATACTTACCACCACGTAGTAGGCTTTGTATTGAGTATTTAAGGTGCAAAATATTTTACACCGTAAACACTATTTGGAAACTTGTATTGCTGAGTTGATGCTTCGCTGTTCTCCATCCACCCTTCCCAAAAGGAAAACAATTCCATTATCAGAATGAAAACAATGTATATGTTGGGGAGAGGTGATATTAGGATTAATATCACAAAAAAGCACAAACATTTTCTTCCAGCCCTTGTGGTTTAAAATCTTTCTAAAATGTTATTGCATAAATATAATTATTTTTCTTTTTTGATGATTTATAATACTGTTGTTTGCCTGAGTTTTCATTGTGAACCTAATTTTTCACAGAACAGCATTATTGAAGGAGCTATAAAAGAGATAGATATCGGCCTAAGTATGTCTCTAAACTCGGGCACTCTTTTTACTTGATCTTTATTTTTTTAAAACTAAATCTCTTATGTTGTTAGTTGCAGTTGAATCTATTCCAACTCAGGGTGACACTGGATGCATAGAGTAGAATTGCCCCGTAGAATTTTACTGTAACCTTTAGGAAGCAGATCACCAAACCTGTCTTCTGAGGTGCTTCTGGGTGGGTTTGAACTACCAACCTCTTGGCTAGAAGGTGAATACTTAGCCTTTTGTGCTACCAAAACCAAACCAAACCAAACTCATTGCCTTCAAAGTCAATTCTTACTCACAGTGACCCCTTAAGACACAACAGAACTGCATCTTAGGGTTTCTGAGTCTGTAAATCTTTTATGGGAACAGGCAACCTCGTTTTTCTCCCATGAAATAGCTAGTGGGTTTGAACCACCAACCTTGTTGTTAGTGGTCCATTGCTTAAGCCACGGTGCCACCAGGGCTCCCAGGAATCCTAAATTCTTTGTATCAGGTTATTTTTAGATAATAAGGGCTTGATTTTGTCTAATATGTAGACAAAGACTCACTAAGTGTGAGTCTTGATGTGATGGTATAGGATAGAGCACTGGACTGCAAGGAGGGTTTGAACCATAAGGTCGATGGTTCAAACCTACCAGCCACTCCTCAGAAACCCTATGCAGGGTTGCTGTGAGTCAGAAATGACTGAATGGCACTTAACACAACAATATGTAGTAATTCAGGGTTCTTGATTTTTAAGGTTTTATCATATGGAATGGTAATCATGGACTCATGTAAGATTTAATGTGTACTTGGCAATGATAAAATGAGAGAGGCTTTGTGGTTAGATACATGTAGGTTGAAATTCTGCCTTGCTACTTACTAGCAAGTTACCCTACCACTCTGAATTTCAGTTTTCCTCATTAGGAAAATGAAGATTATAGATTTCTAAAATGATGGAGTTAAGTACCTATGTCATAGGCAGTGTTAGATTACCCAATAAGCAAGGAAAGCATGGGTTTACTTGTGCTTGCTACTGTATACATATTTCACCACATCAAAGATTCTGCTTCTGGATAGGGCTGGCTGGCATCTCTGTCCCAACCCCACAGCACCTTCTTACAGAATCAAAACCTCTTTTCCAATTTATCATCCTTGATAAGAATAGAGTACCCAGTAAGCAAGGTAAGCACAGGCTTGTGCTTACTTACTAATCTGTAGTGAACAGTTTGGTGAACTGTTCTGAGGCGCACATTCCTCATGCGTGTTGTTGCTCACTTTATAGACCTGTCTAGTATTTGGCTGCAAGGTGAGCTCCAGGTTGGGTTCTGTTTCAGGTTTGAAGGGTGTCTGAGGGCCACACTCTTGGGGGTTCTACCAGTCTCTCTGTTCTACGTTTTGTTTCCCTTTCTGTCCAGGACCTTCTGTTGCCCCGATCAAAGTAATGGTAGCCTTTGTATTGAGTACTAAGGTGCAAAATATCTTACATAGTGGACACCAGTTGTCAATTCATATTCCTGAGTCGATCATTCATTAATCCTCTAGTTCTTCTGGTGTCAGGTAGTGGAGGCCATGGTTTGGGTGGCCCATTAGATCTCTGGACTAATGGTGTCCTTGAGTCTCGGATTTTCTTCACTCTACTTTCCTCCAGACAAGGATACACCAATAGCGCACATTACATGACCACTTGTTTAGCTTTTAAGTCCCCAGTTGTTACTCACCAGAGTAGAATGTAGACTATTATCTTTGTGAACTATGTTATATCATTGACATAGCTGCCTCCTGAAATTATGGTCCTAAGCCCCCAAACACTCCTTCCTTCAAGGTGTTTGGTTAGGGCTAAGAAGTTTTCATAACTTTGTTCTCTGCTTGCTCTTATTACATATGTAGATAGATTATAGCACATACAAATATATATGTAGAAATTTCTGCTTAACCTATGTATGTTCATGGATGTAGTACCATTTGGCTTCCCATGTATCCACTCATAGATTATTGTTTCTTTTTACTTACATTGCAGGATGGTCTATGTAATAGTGTTGTTAAGTGCTGTCGAGTCAGTTCTGACTCAACAGTGACCTCATAAAGGGTTTCCAGGGAGCGGCTGGTGAGTTTTGAATCATCGACCTTGCAGTTCAAATCAACGTTGTGGGCCAGTGCTTATTTTACAGTGCCACACCAGGACTCCATTTATGTAATAGCCTTTGCTTTTATTGACTGTAACCTTACAGGATTTTATTTTCTCTTATTGACTGTAACTCTTCTGCATATCTCAATGTCTTCCTTTGCATTAGTCATATTGGGCGGATTGCCCTTTTATTGTATATTACCTTTCCCTTCATTCTGGTATGGCACTGCAGAATAAGCATTTGACTGCTAGCTGAAAGATTGGTGGTTCAAACCCACCACATGCTCCTTGGAAACACTTCACAGGACTGCTGTGAGTTAGAACTGACACGATGGCACTTAGCAACAACATTATCTACTTGGAAAGCATGGTGACTCTGTATGATAAGTGTTGTACTAGACTGTGAATCATGAAGTCAGTGGTTCTAGCCCATCAATTGCTCCACAAAAGAATGATGAGGCTTTCTGCTCCCGTAAAGATTTACAGCCTTGAAAACCTTATACTGCAGGGTTGAGGAACATTTTTTTCTGCCAAAATCTATAACATTATTTGTGGGGCATACAAAATCATCAGCTTAAAAACTAGCTTGCTATATTTGGTCAAGTAGGAGCTCTGGTAGCGTAGTGGTTACAAGTTGGGCTGTTAACCGCAAGGTCAGCAGTTTGAAACTACCAGCGCTCCCGTGGAAGAAAGATGAGGCTTTCTGCTCCCATAAAAATTTACAGTCTTGGAAATCCTATACAGGGTCGCTATGAGTTGAAACCAACTCCACGGCACACCACTCCTACCCCCATATTTGGACATTTAATTCACACTTAATGTGATGGCTTGAACTGTGGTTACCTTGGCAGGTGATTTCGTGGGCTTTATACAGCTGCATGTTCCCCACTCTTACTATACAGGTTCACAGTGAGTCCAAACCAACTTGATGACACTTAACAACAATCAAATTAATGATTTTCCCTCCTTTCCCCTCTCATCTCTAGTAATCATCAAAGAATGTTTCTTTCTGTATATAAACCTTTCCTTATTTATTATTATTATTATTTTGGTGAGGATAGCCAGGACTATGTTTTTCATTATTATTATTATTTTTTATTGTGAACTGAATGGTAGTTTACATGGGAGAATATTGGCTTTACACAATTGTTTCATTGCAATGATTACAATCTCCTCCATGCATTATCATTCAACAGTATTTGCTTCCATTCCCTCTGTTTTTTAGCGGGGGAGGAGAGGTTGGGGGGAATGTACACAAAAAATACAGGAATACATAATAATTTAAAAAACCAGAGGGCACATTCTGCAAGTCTGCCTCCTGGCCTCCTGTACTCAGTCCCTCTCTTTCCATGAATCTAGAGTCCTCAGCTGCTCCCTCTCTCCACGTTCCCATCTCTACCTCCATCTCTGGTGTCGTTGCTTCTCTGGATAAGGCCCCGCATTCTGCTCATGCTCTTTTCCCTTGATGGTCCTAGGGTCCTCTGTTTCTGGACTGCAATATTAACTACTCCCCCATATTTGTTCACAAAACTTCTACCTTTACAGTTGTGATAGTGGCAATTAGTCATGATAACACTTACTCACTATTGAAACATAAGAATCTTAACCCTATCTCTTTGAACCAGACCTGTCTAGACAAGAATAAAACTATTTAGTGGGGACTCTTTGTTCTCCTGCACACTCTAAAACTAAACTTGCTCTTGAAAATTTGCAAGCCAGTCACTTTGTGCCTTTATGTTGTTGTTAAGTGCTGTTGAGTCAGTTCTGACACATAGCAACCCTATATAGGGTTTTCAAGGAGCAGTTGGTGAGCTTGAACTGCTGACCTTGCAGTTCAAATGGTTTTGCAATCTGGCACATTAACCCACAGCGTCACACCAGGACTCGTGCCTTTATAGCCCCCCTCCCCCCACCCCCAATTTAGGTAGCCAATGCCTAAGTTGCTAGTCCCTATCTACTCTGTATACAGAGGGGATAGGACTGATACATGATGTGAAGACTCCTTCCCTCTCTGTTGATATTTTCAGCTACTACATCTATAAGTATAGGTCAAGTACATCAAATTATAGCAATTTACACTTGTTTCCTTTATCAAAGCTTGTTTTTTTTTTTTTATCTGTACCTGGACCAAGAAGCAGTTGTTTGAACAGAACGTGGGAACACTGAATGGTTGTAAATGAAAAAAGGTGTTCAACATGGTTATAGTCTTTCACCATAGTTACTCAACCTATATGCTAAGCAAATAATCCAAG